GTTCAGCATTTCAGTATCACTTTTTAGTAAGGCAACATTTAATAAATTGTAAGTAAAGAAATGCTACATTAATGGTTATTAATACTTAATACATTCTAGGCAATTAATGTGAACATATGTTGGCTTTATAAAGTACATGGTTTTCAGTCCAGATTCCCTGCAGCCCTTTTCTAGAAGTGGTCCAGTAGTCCAATCATTCAAAGACATTTTTCCACAATCTGTCAACACAAATGTGGTTGTTGTCATACAACTGATCTATACAGCTTATTTAACCATCAATATTTCCATCATTTTACTATAAAGTTTTACCAATATTTCTAATAATACAGATACAAAATATGTCCTTAATTGCTTCCACTGTCTTCAAATTTCCGTCGAGCTGGCAGCTATTGTAACTTTGAATCTACTGGCCCTTAAGCCTAATCAAATCAGGTTTCAATTTTGAGACGCTATACTCCCGAGCGTTTCGGTTTTGTGGCTGTTTTCTATTGGTGCAGAAGTTAAATTAAGACACATCAGAAATGCCACGAAACGCACCGAATAGATTGGCAGCTCTCGAGCCAATCGTTGAACAAGCCTGCTTCAATCTTTGGATGACGACACAAGGCACGAACCAATCACACCTTAGGATCTGGGAGGGGCTGGTTTGTTGACAGGAAGCGTGTGAGCTTGAATCAATAGAACATCTCTGCGCTTGTAGTTTAGCCTGGAAAACAGAGGATTTTACATTCGTTCGCCCCTTCGTAGGTGTGTGGACTTAAATTATGCGTTTTAAGATCGATCCGGGGCCAAGATGCAATGGAGGTCAATAGTACTTGGTCTGGTCATATTGAGACTCTCACTAGGCTTTTTGCTATGGCTAGTCTTTGGACTGGGACCCAACGTTAGCTGGGGCTTCAACTTCCCTATTAGTTTCAATTTGCACAAATTAGACTTGTTATTCAGGGAGGAACAAAGGACCGACCCGGGGAGTAACTCATGGACTCAACGAATACACGGCTACAACTATGAACAGAAGGCGAGCACCTGTGCAAAGGTTGGAGAGGATTCCCCTAAGAGATCTTACCTGAGCTTTTTCGATGGTAACAAGGACGAGTACGTCCGGAGATACAGTTCCTTTCCGGACACACTAAAAGCGCAAATGAAGGACATGGCCAAAGAAATGTTCTATTTCGGCTATGACAATTATATGAAATATGCTTTTCCAGAGGACGAACTGAATCCCATTGACTGTGAAGGGAGGGGACCAGACGTGCTTAACCCGTGAGTCATTCAAAGCTGGTTCTGGCTAGCTGAACCGATAGACACCTGCCACTGTCAAAAGTACACACTTCTGGGCGGACTGTTATCTTAACTGTCCACTACAGACTGTACCATTTGCATTTAGTTTGTAATCAAATTAGCCTGTAGGGTAGCATTGCTACTACATTGCTGCCCAGTACTGAACAGGATAGGTTTAGACACCTTTGCACTGGACAGTCATGTGCGTCCTAAACTAGGATATAGGTGCTGCTTGGAGGGGTCTTGATGTGGTTTCAGGTTTTTGTTACATTAAGGAACTGTTTAATTTCTTGGTCACTCTATTAATTTGAAATCGGGACAGTGAGGCAATATGTGAATATATAACCTAATGAAAGTAGAAGAAAAGGCATTAGGACTAAATGATTAATCAGTCAAAAAAATCCATAATGAAAATAATTTGTAGATGTGAACTGATTAACTGAGGAATCATCTAAATATTAAATTTCTTAAAGCTATCACAATCAATAAAAGATAACTAGAGAGAAGAGTTGTCTAGAATTATACTCAAAGTACAGAAAGTACAAGAAGTGCTGTCGCACCCTGATTGATTTGAATGTCATACTGATTCCAGTCATTCGGTTTCTGTGCTCACCACAGGAAAGTGAAATACACAGACAATTTGGCTCTGTCTTCTCCACTGTGTAGAGATGTGGATGACATGCCTGAGCATTTTATTCCCCTGTGCAGGTCATAGATACTGAAAGGTAAGATGAAAAAATAATGCTAGTGTGAAATAGACAAAAGTAAAAACGACACATTTGACATGTCCTACAAACGCATGTCTTTACATTTTACCAGCTTTTCACCCAAATTATAGAAGACATATATATAAAAACTGCAAGTGAAAGAGCCACAACAGGATGATACTGTAAGTGCTGTTCCTTAATGGCAAAAACCCATCACCAGTATCTAACAACCAACCCTTCATTACATGCTGTAGAGAAGGGGGGGTTGGGTTTCCCTGAACAAATGCATGTCCTGACATTTTTGAAATCAACAAGTTTTGCCTTAAGTATGAAACTGGCTTTCCACATGCGCAGAACAAGAAAATATTGGTTCCTGTACTTAAACAATTAGGTTTTCAATCACCAGAAAATTTATCATTAACCATTTTGATTGGCTAATTATTTTTCAAACAAAAATGTGTTTCTATGTCATATACTTAATAATAAGCTAAATATTTTTGGGGTTTGGACAGTTGTTTGAGGGGAGCAAGTCGCCACTGGCTTTATTGAATTGTAATGAATAGTTTTTGCTTTTGTCTGATAGACTCAGTGAACAACTGAGAAAATACTGTAACTGTCAGATTAATCAATAATGAAAATAAGGGTTAACTACCAAAGCTTTCTCTTGTGTTAAGCTTCAGTGTTTTTTTTTTTTTTTTTCTCACAAATTTGAAAATGTTTGTGATGTGAATTCACAAGATAATTCTAGCAGAAAACCAGAGTTAGAAATTACAATGAAAAATAAAAAAATACAAGTGAATATACATATGCTTTTTAATGTGGTGTTTCTGTAGTTTTGTCCATCCCATCTGATTTCCCACTCACCACTTTGCTGCTGTATGCTTTCTGTTGTGTGAACTGTTAATTCCTTCTGCAATTTTGAGTGACACCACAGTCTGTTACACTGCTTTCATTTCAGGTCAAATATCAACATAAATGATGTCTTGGGGAATTACTCCCTTACACTGATTGACACCTTAGACACACTGTTGGTAAGTAAGTTACACTAAGTTACTGTGTTTTCCTTTCTCACAGCATTTTATAAAGATACCATTGGGAGTTTCCACTAATTACTTTACCTGCTGATTATTATCAGTATTTGACACATTAACTTTAAACATGCAAATGTAAAGGAGCTTTAGCAGTCTTAAATAGCAAAGTGAGGTTCTTAGATGATCTCAACATCACCTGTTTTGCAAGGAGCAGTGCTTTGCACTACATTCAATAGCACAGTGGTGCAGTGGTTAACGCCTCACTGACTGACAGAGCCAGGTGGAACAGAGTTTGGTTAAGATGGTTTGTTAATGTACCACAAGAATCACTCGACTGTTTATTTTATGAAAATGTAACTGGATGGGTTCAATGCTTAAACTGGTCTTCTTTACAACAGTTGCCATTGTAATCGCAATTTTTGATTGGTTCATTTATACTTTAAACTGTAGTCTGTTAATGCCTATGGTGAACTGTAACTATCTTCTGTTTTCTGTATAACTACAGATTTAGCATAAATAGTCCTTGGAAGTATCAACTCCCTCCATCCAAGTACCTCTCTGTACCATGGGAGGACAAATGACCTTTTGACCAATGAGAAACATGTGTATAACTGTTATCAGTGTAGATTGCTTTTCTCTGATGCTTCCCAACCCTGTGTAAAAGCTTATATACGTATGTTCTGAGCTCCCTTTGTGCTTCGAGCCTCTCTAACGGACCTCTTGAGTGCTGTTGTAGAAATAAAAATACAAAAGACATATCTACCTCAATTCTTTTTATTTCACACTCACCGAAGGTTGTTCATTTTAGCACAGGTAAACAGGAATTTTTCCTCCACACCTTGTAGAGTAATGATAAAATAGAATCTAAAATATCTAGAAGCCTTAAGTATGCATCCAAAGAAGCTTGTTGATATACTGTGGTTATACCATGTGGTTTTTCTCTCCAGGTGCTCGGCAATGTGACAGAGTTCCAGAGAGCCGTCAGACTGGTTATAGATACTGTATCGTTTGACAAGGACTCAACTGTACAAGTTTTTGAGGCAAACATCAGGTATAAATGTTGCTACTATTTCTAGTACCATACAGAGGCGGATACTGCCCACCTTACTGATTATACAGCAGCTGCTCAGGCTAAATTCTGAAGTGTCTCAGCAGTGGTTTACCAGTAAATGAGTGATATTTCCTTTTTAAGTATCCAAAATGTATTTCAGTAGAAAACACTTTCAAATTCTTTATTATTTCAAATAGGCAATGTTTCAGGACACAAATCTGTAAGACTCCTTCAAATACCTTGGTCCAGATAACTCCTTCAGCAGTTTATCAATCTTTCATGGAATATACTATAAATAAAACAGTTTCAAATGTACAAATATTTAAAATAAAACAAGCACAGAAGTAAAGTTGGTACTCTAAAAACAAACCACCAGTTTTACACCTGATCAAATTTAATTATGAAGGCCAACATCTTGATTCATCTTGCTAATTGTATGCTCAAATTAGCCCACAACACAATGAGAAAAAAACAGGGGTTTACAGAGTCACACATCTGGATTATTTCAGAAATGATGTATTATGTTTGCCCTAAATGCCAGTCCCAGTTTACTGGCTGTGACCATGTTGTCCAAAATGACTGATGTTGAATTCCAGTCTATTTCTGTGTGGAGCCTCAGTGTACTATTTCTTTTCTTTGAAGGATTTTGGGAAGCCTTATCTCAGCTCACATCCTACTGACTGACCCGAAACATCCTTTTGGGAAGGTGGGCTTTGAGGGTTATGATAATGAGCTGCTTCACTTGGCTCATGACCTGGCTGTCCGCTTACTGCCGGCCTTTGAGAACACCAGCAATTCCTTACCCCAGGGTGAGTCAGTGGTGTCTCCAACCTTTTTTACTTTGAAAAAAATGAAAGCAGCTGAGAGCTACTCCTATTTTATATTAGCCCACTAGTTACATTTAATCAGAAATTATGTTGTGGGTGTTGTAAAAACAGTGGGAAGTCGGTTATTGTAGTTTGGGCTCCTTATCAACACAAACAACAACAGGAGGCAATTAAGGTAGGCTAATTAAAACCCCTTGGTGCCCGACTGCCACAATTTGATTTAAAAAGACGTCAAACATTTTGGTACTTACACATTCCAAAGAACTCATGATCTCAGATGTCCACTGCAAATAAACGTCCACAACCCCGCCTAGAAATAGTAGAAAAAGACTCCTTGTAACCCCAGTATTTGAAGGAGTATCAAACCAGTGCACTGATACTTGGTAGTAGCATTGACTATTGCATCTGATTGTATGTAGCAAACAATAACTGCTAATTGCGAATTTGGCGTAGTGTCACTTACTTTACTGAAATGTAGCCTAACATGCTGTAGGTCACAGCAAAACTAACCGAATCCCTGGCAATGTACCTCGTGTTTCTTCTACAGTAACGTTACACGTTTGTCTTTTCATTTAAGACTTTTAAGGCTCAACGCAAGATTGTCCAAAAAAGTTGCTAGCATCCATGAACAGTATAACTTACGTAAACAACCTTGGCAGCAGCGTAACTCATTTGATTGGCAGGTGATTGGCAAATAATCATTTGATGCCAAGGAAGGCGGGACATCCGTTTGTTTGATTGGATTACAGTTTGAGTTTTATGTAATGTATGGATTGTAGGCTATATATTGTACACTGTCTGAACCTTTAGGCAGAGCCACGTGTTGGAGACCCCTGCACTATATGTTGTTCCTCCCTGCTTACATACATGACAGGGACAGAATATTATGAACGCCTCTCAATATAATGCATTTCAGTACAACACCACCTTTAACAATGGCCGCAATAATAAACATAAAATTGAATTTATACATTTCTGACAATTTCACCAAAAACTGAAACACCAGCTTCATAAAGGTAGCTGCTATAGTAGGGTTGTTGTACTGGATTGCAGTCATTTGCACAGGTTTACCTAATAAAGTGCTCTGAGGGGTATAATATAATAGCTTCAGTATTCTTAAAACATGTTTTCTCTTAGTTTTTATTTGTTATTGAATGTAGAGTGCTGGGCAAATATGGCACCTGTATCCATTTAAATTTAAAATACACACACTGTCCAGAAAGTGAAGGGAATATGTTCTGAAACCACTGTATATTTTTATTCACTTAATACAAATACTGCAAATGCTACTTCATACTTTGACTTCACTACATTTCAGACAAAAATATTGTACTTTGTACTCACTAGATTGATATCTTTAGTTACTTAAACAAATTAGTATAATACAACAAAATATAGTATAATCATCAGATTTTATTGATCCATTGTGTAAAATACACAAGCCACCCAGTAGTATATAAAGTATTTCAAATTATAATAATATATATATAATAACCAGCAGTTTTATGGATTTACATGTTAAATGCAGGTGAACCTGAAGACTGGGGTTCCTCCTGATAGCATCAATGAGACCTGTACTGCAGGAGCTGGGTCCCTACTGGTTGAATTTGGGATTTTGAGCCGCTTGATTGGAGATTCCACATTTGAGTGGGTAGCGAGACGAGCAGTCAGAGCTCTGTGGAACCTGAGGAGCAACGAAACTGGTCTGTTAGGTATGTACAGCTGTGCACTGTACTTCTGTTAAGAGACTCGTTTCATCCTGGATTGATTTTTAAATTACTTGCTTTCTTTTTTCCAGTATGGTAAAGGCTACAGCATGTAAATATGATGCCTACGGTTCATCTATCAACTTCTCTCCTTTAGGGAATGTAGTTAATATCCAAACAGGCCAGTGGGTTAACAAGCAGAGTGGTCTTGGAGCTGGGATGGACTCCTTCTATGAGTATTTGCTCAAATCATACATCCTTTTTGGTGAAAAAGAGGATTACAGGATGTTCCAAGCTGCTTATGAGAGCATACAGAACCATATGAGGAGAGGGTGAGTCCCACACTGAAGAAATGTGACACTTGTGTGCATTTGGGTGAAAGTAGCCGGATGTGTTGGCGGCATTAGAGAGCTTCACACAAGGTGGTGGCCCATTTGCAACATAAAATTCTCACAGCTATATAAATGACTCTTGGTCCAGGATTGGACAGGGAATTAAAACTGTTATAAAGAAATAAAAATTAAAAGGAATTAAAACAGTTAACGATTTCTAGTATGCTTCTTTGTGAAGGATATGGAAAGCTGAATTTTGTGCCTTGCAGCTGTCATGAGGTGTCTGTCGGGACATCAGCATTCAATACAGAAATGTCTGAAACCTTTTTCCTCTTCAGCAACCATTAATAGCAAGGCACTTAATATCACAACTATTCAAATGGAGATGCATGGATGAGTATGAGACATTTTCAGCCCTTTCTGCTTCATTTTTTTCAGGAGAGAATCCTGTAATGAAGGAGAGGGTGACCCACCTCTCTATGTTAATGTGAACATGTTCAGTGGTGAGATCATGAACACATGGATTGACTCCCTTCAGGCCTTTTTTCCAGGGCTGCAGGTTAGGCTCTCTACTTTCAGCTATGACCGGTCATACCTATGTATGTGTGGTGTTCACTTAAATGTTATCACTGTGTGTCCTAGGTGCTGAATGGTGATGTGGACAATGCCATTTGCCTTCATGCCTTCTACTATGCCATCTGGAAGCGCTTTGGGGCTTTGCCCGAGAGATACAATTGGCAACTACAGGCCCCTGATGTGCTCTTCTACCCCTTAAGACCAGAGTTTGTAGAGTCTACCTATCTGCTGTACCAGGTAACACTGCTGCCTTGTAGTAACACAACATTTGTGGTAGTGAGGCTTTCTTTTTTTTTTACTCAAGAGGAGACTCTTTTTTTTCTTCTTCACTTTTTTCATAGGCGACCAAAAATCCTTTCTACTTGCACGTTGGAATGGATATTCTTCAGAGCCTTGAGAAAAATGCCAAAGTCAGGTGTGTGGGTCATGGAATATATCGTGCACCTCTCTAGAGTTTTGGAATGCTTTGATGTGTCTAGTTTGAGCTGAGCTGAGCTATGATATTTGCAGATGTGGTTATGCCACCCTCCACCATGTTGTGGACAAATCCAAAGAGGATCGCATGGAGAGCTTCTTCCTCAGTGAGACATGCAAATACCTTTTCTTGGTACGTTATAGGCTGAGCATATTGGGGAAGAAAGCATGTTATATATCAGGGGTTTTCAACCAGTGGTTTGTGGCCCCCTGGTGGTCCATGAAGACATTGCAAGCGGTCCCTGACCATACATTAATAATGTAGCTTTACTGCGGGATTCTTTTTTTTAACTTGTTTCTATGTGATACTTATTGTCTCTGAATAATAAAATTCAGGCAAATATAAAAATTTAGAAAAGCCACAGTGTCTTTCAGGATTAAAACAATGCAGATCTGGTGTAGCCACCCTCGGGTTGTGGTCCTCAGGTTACTTCTTTATTCAGAATGGTGGACACTAGGTCACAATTAGTTCAAAGCCCCTGTTATATATGGATATGATAGCGTAATGTGATGCTATCATCATGTTATTGTTTACTGTTAAAAAGTGGCAGAAAACAAAGAAAAATGCACATTACATTATTATAATAGCTTGTTTTGATCACACCAGCGAACACAAGGAAGTTTAATTTGCACCAAAATCAGAGAGAAAAGTAGAAAATCTGAACATTTTGAGAAACTTGGAACAGCAAACCACTTGCTTTGCAAAATCATTTCCTAATTTGATTTTGTTGGTGTCTCCCATCTGCTGACAGGTTGAAATTCAGGCTCACTGTTGATTCATACAAATAAAAATGTTCTCTCCTGCATTGCAGCTGTTTGATGAGGACAACCCACTTCACAAATCTGATAACAAGTACATCTTCACTACAGAGGGCCATGTCGTGCCTATAGACAAGCGCTTCAGGGAGAAACAGTGGAATGACTTTTTTCCGTGTGAGGAGGGAGCACTGGTAGAGAGAGTGCCAAACAACCAGCCACCATCTGGCAACATCAGCAGTGTAAGGCCATCATCCTTGCCCGAGTCCATTACACTGTCGACCATTGTCAGTGTTAGAGGTATCTTATTATTTTGTGGTAAATATCTCTCACTGTCACAGAGTCACATTTCTTCCTTCTCTGCAGTGTAACAGGATCCCAGAGGAGCGGCGCTATGCTCTACCATTAAAGAGTGTCTACATGAGGCAGATTGATCACATGGTGGGACTTTTCTGAACAAAAGGATGGATATGGTGACATTAGCATGAGCAGGCCTTCAGTGGAGCTGCTCAGAAAGATGCAGCAGGGTTAAAAGAGATCCACTGCTGGTCTGAATCCACTAAAAGAAACCTGAGAAAGCAATTTGATTATTTGCCATATAAACTAAAAGTGTGTGGGTGTTCTTGCTCTTTGGTGCACAGGCATGTAGTCAACAAAAGCGAACAAGAAACTTATCTGCTGGACACTTGAGGAGTCAGGCTCAATGATGTTTTGGCTTGTGAAGAGTTGGAAGTTTTGTTAGTGATTTCAGAATAATTGGTGTTTTTGGTGAGCAAACATGTTCAAGAATGTGTGTGTGCAAATAATGTGTGTATGTGCTTGAGTGTGTGCTTCTTGAAATTACAGCAAAGCTGTGAATCCTAACATTGTGTTTAAGGGAACAGTGCCATCTAGCCACACATGTGTAAAATGTACAACTTACAAAAACTCACCTCTAAAACTTTCTCCAAACAGGATGATTAGTGCCTGTTTGCAGTTGAGTCACTTGACTAGTTCAGTGCTTTTATTGAAGGGCTGCACATTTACAGATAAGGAGAGGTTATTATTTATGCACATACTACAAAGGCCTGCCTCATGTGAGGCTGCCATGTTTTAGACTGTGCCTGTAGGAACTTCAGTTTGTCTTGTTTTGTAAGCCTGAGGCAGGTTTTCCAAAATGTGGAAACAGCTGTCATGTGTCTCTCACTCAGCATTATTCGTTTTTTTTCTCCATTGACAGAATTAGCTATAATGTACCTATTTTAGAAAGGCTTTTGTTTTGCACATTTGTCAAGTTAAAAAAAAGCCAAGTATATATATATATTCTACCCAGGGAAATAACAGAAAGCATAAAGCCAGACAGCTTCCTGCCTGTAAGCTGTTTACACATTTGTGATAATACTGAGGGAAAACTCAAGTGTTCATGTCTCAGGCTTCTAGATATTTCATGTCTTATAAAGGGCAAACAGTTGTATCATGACGGTGTGTAAGAGAGAGGTTCAGGATGACTCGACGTTTTAAAGTGCCTTCAATTTGTCTTGCCGTTTCTAGATGCTGTACACTGCATAATAGTTGAGGATAGCATTGTCTTTTTTTTTGAGGCCACTGTTGATATTGGACAACAGATGTCATTCCATTGTACATGTACAGTTCTACAATGATCATGACATACATTTTAGACATGGTAAAACAAGCCATAAAATTTATTTTTTTAACATTGATGAGTGAAAATGTGTTTTTCAGTCATCATTTGCTGTTTCTTTCTCTTTCACATAGTTGCACATCCTTTTACCTTTTAATTGTCATATGTTGAGAACTCAGGGTTGAAAGTAAAAATCAGTGAATGCTTTGATAAAAAATAAAAATTTCTTGAACTGTTGTTGCCTATATCTTGAGACAGCCTTAGATATTTATATTGTAAATGTTACAACTTGGCTGGGATTAGCTCCAGCACCCCCCCACCACCACCCCATTCGGGACTAAGCGATAATGGATGGATGTTACAACTTGTTTATCTGAGGACGAAGAATAACTGCACTGAACTGAAGAACAGTTGTACTGTGAATATTCATTCATGTTCCAGACACAGGAAAGTAAATGTTTTCTGATATGTGATTCATGTACAGCTGAACTGAGGTGGATTTTCATGACTGGCTTATCTTTTACAAAACACCCTGAGCATCTGTAAAGCCCAGCAGAGCCACAGGCTGCATGACTCAGTTACATCACTACACTGGCATTTTTTTCTTGGCTTTGGGAGACAGCTGCTCATATTCTCAAGTGCTGTTTAAAGAAACTCAGTTTTCACCACAACCACTTTGTAGGAACATTTTTCTAACATTTTGGGAAGCTTGCTTATTCAAAGATCAATGTCACTTTTTACCAGTCTGGGATATGTTTCAGAAAGCAAAGGCAGCAAAGTCATGTTTTGCAGCTCAGACATTACAGATAAATATGAAGGTTTTCCAGGTATCTCGCATGCTCATGAATGGGTCTGACTTGTGGAGTTAGCTTTGATGTGTCACGTCAACATTTACTGAAAAGGTCAGTATCTCAAAATGCACAGCTTGCATGTTGCAGATTTAGTGAAACCGGTCCCTGCAAGCTACTGCACAGTTAGCCATAAGGTAATGAATCCTGCCTAACAGCACATCTAAAGCTTGCTAATTAACACATATCTTGAAATGTAAAAACAAAAATTGGGGGTTTCTGGTGTATCTCTTGTCAGGGCTATGATTAAAGAAATTAACATGTTAATTTGTGAGCTTTAGATGTGCATTTGGACAGAACCAGGCTAACTGTTTAACTCAGTTTCCAGTCTCTGTGCTAAGATAAGTTAACTGCTGGCAGTAACTTCATATTTACTATACAGTCTTGAAAGAATCAGTCTTCCCATTTAACTTTCAGCAAGTGTATGTCCAAAAATGTCAAACAATTCTTTTAATCTATATAAATTAAAGAAATTAATAATAATAAATGACAGATTATGAACAAGGCGGCTGTGTTTCTTTTTAATTGTGAAAAATGGAAAAGTACTCTACAGAAGCTTGAATATATTTACTCAAGATTTACAATTATTGTGTACAGGATAGTTGGCTCAACCCTGTAGACAAGGATTTTTCAGTTGCTGTATATTACATCTACCACTCAACATCACCACACTTCAAGAGCTATCCAGTAGAAATTATATACATACAATAGCTCTTTCAACTATTTCAAAAATTAATTTTTAACAGTTCTCTCAAAAGTGCAGTGTTCCTTTTACATTCCTAACAGAGGCTGAAGTGCATCTGCAGGTGGAGAGGTCATCGTGTTTACTTTTTGGCTGTATACTGACCAGTTACTGAAGCATAGAGATCATGCATTAGCCTGACATTTAATCATATTAGTACATGTGAGAATAAATCACTTTATGCTGACAGAAGCTTTTGATGTGTTGACTACAGATTGCATAGCCCTCCAAAGACAAGTTCAACAGACTCAAAAGAAAGGTTAGCTTGACTAAAATTCAACTCATCTGAAATCTGCACAAGGTTGTCTGATTTAAGAGTTTCTGGTCGCCTGGTCTCACGTGACCCGAAGCCTGTGAACGTGACAAATTCACTGTTATTATTTGCATTCGAGTGTGGTTATTTTAGGGGACAGTTTCTCATCTTGGCTCCTCAGTTTGACTTGAAGAGAAGTTTGTAAAATGTGACAGAGCAACAACAGCACCCTGTAAAACAAAACAAGGTCACACTGGTTAACTGGCTCAGCGGTTAGTCTGGATTATCATTTCAATACTGTGCAAACTTTACTTACCTTCTTTGCATTCCTCGGCATAGCTCTTAAAAGAGGCCACAATCTTTCAGGTTTTCTTTGATGATAATGTCAGTTACAGCATCAAACACAAATTTGACATTTTCTGTGTCTGTGGCGCACGTCATGTGAGAGTAGACTTCTTTGACATCTCTGCGCAGGTTCAGGTCCAAAAACTGCACTTTGATGTAGTTACCAGCATCCTCATAAGTATTGGGTCCTCAATGAACAGATATCAAGACAAAATGCATATTTGATTGGTTCCCCAAGATGCTGTGATTTATGAATGGTGGTGATCTTACCATCATATTCAGGAAAGCACATGCTGAGATGAGCTTTCTTGATCTTCTCAAGGAACACATCTTTCTTGTTGAGGAAGAGTACAATGGAGGTGGTGGCAAAGTAGCGGTGGTTGCAGATGCTGTTGAACAAGTGCAGACTCTCGTGCATTCGATTCTAAAAGAAAAGTGAGTTTATTCACCACGTCCCAGGGAAGAGACTTTTAATAAACAAGCTGTTGATTGTCCATAAAGGTTAAAACATAAATAGTGTAGCACACAGATGTTTAATGTAACTTTCATCATACCACTTCATCATCTTCCACAAGCACCATGTCATAGGCACTCAACGCAGCGATGAAAATGATACAGGTCACACCTTCGAAACAGTGAATCCACTTCTTCCTCTCTGACCTCTGGCCACCCACATCAAACATTCTGCATAAAGACAGAAGCATGTTACCTTCATGATATATCTTTATGATTGCTGTCGAACACAGTGGGAGCTCTGCTAATGAGTTCTAATGGACCCATTATCTTGAGAAACACAACACTGATTCACCTGAAATTCAGATCTTTGAAGGAAAACTGGGTCTCGATGATGCCAGTGGTCTTCACTCTTGATCGCAGCACGTCCTGTTCAGTGGGTACATAGCCTGGTTGGATCAGGCGCTCCAAGTCATTTAGGTAGCTGATGGATAATAAAATTAATTCAATAACTTATACTAATATGACACTTTGTAAACATTTTATATTTCAGCTTTGGTGACTTCTTACTATCCAGCGGAGTCATTGAGTTGGTATTCGGAGGCCCTGTCAAAGCACGCCTGAATGCCGGAGTCCTTCCACAGGCGCAAAATGATGTCTGACAACTCTTTAGGCATGGTGCCTTCCTCAATAGTGTCTGCAAGGTGCACAAGTTTCCTGGCATCGTCCTGTGGGGTAAATGCAGGAGGACACACAAGTTACACTATGTTTGAAAGTTTGCTTGGAACCTGAAATCAGTTTATACAAAATAAGTGTAAGTGTACTGTATCTCAGCTGTAGGTACCTGCTGATCATGGTGGCCGTAGCTAATATTAAGTGTGTTCATGGCTTTGACAATGGCCATTATGGACTGCAGGGTGTTACTGTAGATGATGGTAACAAACTCCAGGCACTCTTCAAGTGAGTAACCATCTTTGTGGATAATTCTGTTGAGAAAATGTAGCATTGCTATTGTGATTTATACTCAATAGCAGAAGAAATGAGCTGTAGTGGGTGGTCAAATATCTTACTTCATCTGTTTGACAATGGTGCTTTTGCCTGATTCTCCTGCACCTGTATGAAGCATGAAAAACAAATGTAGTTAAAATAAATGTAGTTATTCAGATGAAATAATACAACTACTGTATGTGTTTATTTAAAAAATCTTCATTTTCAGTGATTTTGGAGAGATACAGCTTCTCTTCTAAGCCACAGTTTTTGTGTTGTTATTGAAGTTTTATGACAAGAGAATGATATTAACGGCAGTTAAGCATTCATCAGACAAGAATCTTGACAGGTCATGAAACTCCTTGTTCATGTCAGGGCCGCTTGGCGGCCGCTGCCTCTCCTCCACCTTTCTCTCCTCTATTTTCTTGATCTGCAGGATTCTGCACCTCAGCTGTGTTGCACTCGGTAATTGGCGACTTGTTTGTTGGTGCACATAGCTGGGGTACATCCCGCTGATTAGTTTTCCTCCTTATTTATACCTCGGGCAGACGCTCCGCCTGGGCCGGATCATTGTGACAGGTAATGGACAAATACCACATGTACGTGTACTTAGTTTGTACCCACAGTACATGATAGTTGTTTTGTTTTAACCGCATAAATACACCTGTGCGAGTATGCTACGCTGACAGTAACTGTGCATTTTGGCTTGGCTTGATCACAACATTTATGTGTTTAGCAAACGTACTACTCCCAACGCTGACAGTGACTGGGCGTTGGGTTTTGGTTGTTTGTTTCTTTTGTTCCTTTGTTTTCTCTCTCATCCGCTGTCAACTCACCTGTTTATTCTGGTCTCCTTAACCATCTTCACTCCACCCCGGACTGTATACGTGGACTAGGCCTTTGTTAGGTTCTTTTGTTACTTTGTGTTGTTTTACCAGTAAACTGTCATTTTTTCCCCCCAGCACCTGGGTCAGCATACTTGAGTCCTACCTTTGTTCTCCCTCACCCACCTGGGGAGGGGGGCGTCTCTAACAGTTCAGGTCTAATCCTGTTCAGAGCCGTCAGTAGGAGCTTTTCTGTCCCTGACCTACTTTATCACAAGAAGATTATAAAGCGTGTGATACAATATCTGCAACCTGACAGTCAGTAACATTAAGGCAGCTTCTTACACACAAGTGTAAACCACTGCCAGCCCGTTTCTTTCTTTAATTCTGTGTTGGGCACTAGAGTATCTGTGTCCTTCAGGGTTAAGTCCTTTGTGTTGGAGGACCTGTTTCAGGGTTAACAAGGGATTGGGTTCAGTGATTATTAAAGTGTCTTATAAATTCAGTGACACAGGTTATTATGCTTTTATTGGACCCAAACGTTCTGTGTCTACATCACAGTTTGTGTAAACGTACCAGCTCTGCAGTATGGTAGTAGAGTATGTTAAGGCTTTTTATACTATCCATCCATCGTCTATACCACTTATCCTGAAGAGGGTCGCTGGGGTGTGGGGTGGCTAGAGCCTATCCCAGCTGACACTGAACAAGAGGCAGGCTCCACCCTGGACAGGTCGCCAGTCTATCACAGACATGTAGACCCCCCCCATGGGCAATTTAAGATTCACCAATCAACCTAACTGTGATAGGAAGAGCTGGAGTAACCGGAGAGAACCCATGCAGACACAGGGAGAACATGCGAATTCTGCACAGAAAGGCATCAGGTTGGCTGGGGCTCGAAACCTACTTGAACTCTCGAACCTTCTTGCTGTGAGGCGACAGCGCTAACCGCTGCTCACCATGCCACTCTGACTTTTTATACTGATGAGGTATAACTGAAAATTACTCATTTTCAGTCTGCAGCAGCTATAATTTGGATGGTTTAGTGCCTGAAACATTCAAAGTGAGCTAAACTGAGAAATATTACTACAGGGGATAAGCATTGTTATATACACTCTATGTATATCCTCATACCCAAAATTTTAACAAGGGAAAGCAGCACTTACTAGCTTTTATAGCTAAAAAAAAAAAAGTAGCTCCATACCCTCTATGGGGCCTTATGGGCTCCTTAAATATGTATAAGAACAAGATTAAGTTTGCTGTTAATGCCCCCATGGACTCAGGTTGACTTAATTTTTTTTTTTTTTTTACCTAGCAGCAGCAGCTTGACAGTTCTTGCATCCTTGTCAGCATCCTCCTTCAGCTTCTTCTCCAGCTCTCTGGAGCGTTTCTCCTCAGCACTCGCTCCAGCCCCCATCCTACTTTTCCTTGCTTTGGCCCCTCTGTTGCAAAAACCAAGAGATGTTAGTAAGTCCTAACTGATCGCCCACTATCTGACCAGTGCCGTCAACTATGCACCAACTGCCTGTAGCAAACACTGAAGAATGTCACTGAAGTATTTTCCTATCTTAGGAAAGGATTTTGGGCATCCTCTGCCCACCTGATTGGGAATGACCAATGGTGAACAAGGACATTGTTTCAGGGCAGCATGAAAGATGTGAGGAGAAGTAGACATGCATCAGTGTAGGAGTGATCTAACCTTTAGAGGGACTTTGCTGTGCTCAGCAGAAGATGAACGTTGGCTCAAGTACTTATCTCTCTACGCTGCTCTTAGGTGCCTTTAAAAGAAGAGCATGTAAAGCTCAGTAGTTTGGTGTTTGTGCCTAGCTGGGAGTCTAGTTATCTACAAATTCTTCTGACATCGACATCGTGTGGGAATAACTGAGGTGCTGTATTTTTGGTGCTGGATTTGGAGGAACAAAAACTGTCCCCTTACTTTGTACAACAACCACAGCTAATGGGGTCAGAGAAATACACAACCAAACTCTCACCTCTCAATCCAAACACACTGACATTTCTTAGGAGAATCTGCAGACTGAAGGCTCTGAAATGCTTAAAGAGCTTTGTGGTTTCACCTGACAGATCTCACTGACCTCAATCTGGAGCTGGTTAAGGATCCTAATCTGCTCACTTTTAATTATGTCAATGCATTTGGAAGACAGAGCAGTGCACTGCATGTTTATACATACACATTAGTTTTTCTTTTTATTTTCTCATTAAAAATCCTATTTTGAAGTGTTGACAGAGGCATTTTTTCTGGTACTTCTACCCTCAAAGTATTTTACAGTGTGATATTGCTGTTTTTACTTCGGTAAAGGATCTGGATCCTCACAAGGAGCACAGAAATTAATCCCTTACAATGCAGAAGCACAGCAAAACCTGCAGATTATATGCCCACTGCCCACCAATGTCAAACATAGGAGACCCTGTGTTATTATAAAATATAGAGCTTTAATTTATTAGTCAGCAACGTTGATGAGGAAGAAAAGATATTTCTTTTACAAGTCATTACAATAACATCAACTGTGCATTATATCATACATTACTTTACCTCAATGACCCAGAGCAAAGTCTGCCAAACCAAGTAAATAAAATAGATGCACAATTCAAATATATTCAGATGTTTCGCAAATTTCTGAGAATAGAGAACAAAAGAGACACAAATAGACATACAGCCACACGCAGAGAGAGAGAGAGACAGAGGCAGGGAGAGAGAGAGAGAGAGAGGCAGAAAGAGAAGACTTAAAATCACAATCCGACCTTTCTGTATTTCCCACTATTAAGTTGTGGGCACATCTTTCTAGCCCCGATTCCATATTCCCACAATGAGAAAGACATTCACTAACATCCACACCAATATAGCATTTTAGACAAATACCATATACATATACTGTACATGCCATGCACAATGAACAGCCACCTTCTGAGCATTTTAGTACATGTCTTCAGGTTTGGTGGTAATCAGCTTGTTAGTGGTTTTACTTGTGATGTTTTTTTTTGTTTTTTTTTTGCTGTATGGATGTTTTTCAGTACAAACTGTTTAATATGGCACTGAACAAGACTGACAAAAAAGAAGCAGTGAAAGCTTTGTTGTTAACCGGCTGACACAGTTAACACAGCACCAATAAAACATTTGTCACTGTGATGTAATTGACGTGTATACTGGCTAGACTGGCCAAGGACAATATTCATTTAGTGAAACCAGTATTTAGCATGAAACTGACAGGAATGCAAACTTTGGATTCACTGAGAGCTAAAAGAAATAATCTGAGTCTGAGCTCTGTTTTAGTTGACTATGCTGCATAATATGACACAAATACATGTGAAATATTTACGGTTTATCGATATCACCAATTTGGCAACAGAAGGTGCTTTGTCTCTAATATATATATTTTTAATCACCAACTGTCACAAACTAACATATAGCTGCCTGCTGGAATTTCTTATTTCCAAAGAGCGAGAAGAGAAGGCATTGTTGTATTTTCAGCTTTTGTGTCATTAAAAGACCCTTTTCCCCAAACACAGCTTATTACAAAGATCACGATTATTAAAAATACAACACTGAGATGTGATATTCACATATAAACAAACAAACAAAAAAAACCCCCACACATTTTTGGAAACATTTGGGTAAACGATGTAACATCATTACTAGAGGCCAGGGTGGACCACATCGTGAAAGGAGAGACACCTTACCCGCCACAGAGGGCGTTAATATGCATTTGACTGCATGACTGTGCCATGTTGTCACAGCTGCAGTTTGTGGGCATCACTATTATCCTTGAATGTCCCATTACACACCTTTACCTCCATCTCAACAGCTTGTATCTTGCAGTAAAAAATAAACAAAAAAAGTTCAATATACAGAGTTCTGGTGAAGAAGTTTAGGGAAGTTCAAGAAGGTCAGTGACTCTCTGACTTCCAGCTTAGACACTGAACACTGCCAGCAGTCAAATGATCCAACATGGTTGCCTGTAACACATGTTCATTGGTCCTTGTCCCTGCGTGGATACTCCCAGTGTCCTGGGCTATTGTTGCTGTGTCTCAACAACACCAAACATAAAGATATTATCAACATAATAACACATTTTAATAAACAAATAACACTAACAGTAATATTATAACAACAATATTTGCACAGATTTACCTATTCACAAAAAACATGTTTTCTAGATAGGTACAAAGAATTACTTTTTACAACCTACAATAAATATTGTGTATATTTTTCCAACAGTTGCATAAAAAAACAGTTTGATGCCGTTGCTCTTGGTTGTAGTGTCTGTCTTGTTAATTATGATAATTTGATGTTTTTTGTATCTTTTGACTGGAGTCATTCCCCTAAATGAAGGGTTGCAGTGTCTGGGAGGTTGTGTGAAAAGGTTAGGGTCCTGCTCATGTCTCAGCTGGAGGTGTTTGCTCATCGTGATGCCGACGGTTGCGAGGCTTCTTCTGTTCTTTCAGCTCCTTCAGGCTTTTGGCTTTGTCCCCGAGGCTGCTGTCTCCAAGCTGCCAGTAATCCTGGCAGTATTGATTGATCAGGCCCATCTCCGGTTGGCTCAGGATGGTTAGCAGGTCCTTATACTGGCCAGCACTCGGAGTCCAGGCACTGGACTGGAGTGGAGTGAGGGCTGGGCTGCCTGTCTCCACCAGCACGTTGTTGACTGTGCGGCTGGAGAGGACAACAAGCTGCAGTTTGACCAGCATGTGTTTGAAATTTTTCTCTGTGGACGTGCACTGGTAGATGCCGCTGTCCGAGGACTGCAGTGAGCGGATCAGAAGCCCTTGTTCTGTTCTCAGCATGCGGCCCTCTGAGCGTATCTGGAAATAACAGGACAAAAGTGAAGAGGATCTTTTTAACAGCTGAAACGCCCAAACAGCTTCACCAGGCCATGGAGATATAACTGTAACAGCCTTACAGTGAGGGCTTTGCTCACCTCTTTCCTCCTGTCACTGTTTTCCTTCTGCAGGTGCCACTTGAGTGACACATGAGGAGACCTGGCCTGGCACTCCAGAAATGTCGTGCTCCCCTCAACCCCATACTGAACTGTCTCCAGGGTGTTCTTGTTGGCTATCAAACATTATATAGAATATATTTTATGTATTATCCCTGAATACATAAAATATGTGATATATACAGTACTATGGGCTTAATACCAAGTTAACCTGACACTCACCATTGGAGTTATAGCCTCTGCACTGGCGGATTGGGTTGCCATATTTTACATCTTGCCGACGACTACGTCTGTAGAGGTCAGGATCAACATACAGAAATAAAACGCGAACTATAACATATACTAAAAATATCCCAGTGTTACAAGCAGTGCACATGAAGGAGATTGTTCTACACAAACACATACTGTACTCATGCATGCCCGTCTATACTATCCCGATCCTCACCTCTTCTGTGAGGCTGAGTATCTGGAGCAGGATTTGCCATCCCAGGCACAGTATGGGTCTCTGGCCAGACAACAGTCAGCACAAGCCTCCCCATACACATCACAACGATGGAGAGCCAGATGGGTCACACCCAAGACGGATCCAACATATAGCTGTTGCTATAATGAAACGCAGGTAAAGATTTGTATATTAAAAAAATTATCAGATACACATAAAACTGAGGTACAGGTAATATACAAAAATGTTATATGAGACACCATATTGTCTAAGAAGTAACTACACTGGTATAATGAACTATTCCTCTAACCAGTTTCAGGGTAACTTACCCGTTTGGATGAAATCTTCATTGTGGTAATTGGTGTAGGAACCTGCATTGACAGAGTCAAAAAAGGCTTTAAATAAGTAGACTGTGCATATATAAATGACCTTTTTTGTCAGACAACAAACAGAATACACATATGCACAAAATGGGATAGACAGAGTGGAAGAGAAGGGGTGGGGACTGACCTTGAAGACCTCCACTTCCTCTAAGACCAGCTCCTCTGTCTGCAAGTCGTCTCTAGGCAGGACGATGACCTTCTGAACTGTACCCCGATCTGTCAAACACAAGCGAGGAGCAAGTTTAACGTCAGACCCATTGTGTGAATTCATCATTACTTTTACTAGTGTGTGAAACTTCCAGTTAGAGCCAAATCTGGTGAACTTGAGGGAAATGGTGATATTGGGCTATACAAATAAAATTTGACTCTACTTAAAGTGTACATGATATAAACTTCAAACTACACATTTATATGACTGTTAAGTTACTGGACAATCATTATAGAATGTCAGTTTTAGACTGCTGACCTGTGCCCAAGAAGAGCACCTCATAGCTCCCATCAGCAGCTGTCACCTGGTCCACGGCAATGGTGGTGAACTCATAGTCTACGTTGGTTCTAACCACTAGGGGGCGCTTGTGCACCGGGTATACAGCATTGTGCATGGTGGGGTGGTTTCTCATGAAGTTGATAACCTCATCTGGGTAATCCTTTGTGGATTTCATGTTGGGGGTGAAAGTGCCTCCAGGACACTATTGACAAAAAGAGAGAGATCCAACTGTCAGACATGCAATTTACCAAATTCCTTTTTTCAGTGTGTTCTCATAAAAAGGTTGACAGAGAGTTTTGTTTGTAATAAGAGGAGGGGTATATTCATAATTTTCTACTGTTTATAACTCACAGTGCCTGGTCGTGGATAGGGAATCTTCCCAGTGTACGCCACCCACTGGTAGTTGGGCCCTTCCTTGTGGGCAAAAGGCCCATTGAAGACCATACGAATGTCAGCCATGGAGTAGACGCACACTGCTGAGCCTTTAAAGACAGATCTGGAGGTGGGCAGGGGGGAAAGGTGAACCCACAGATACAGAAGCTAGTCGATACAGATTAACTTGCTCCCTGGGATAATTACTGTGTGCACTTTCTGCAGCTGCTAGAAAGTACTTCCTTCCCACGTACTCAGGCAACCTCTTACAGGAATGCACTGAAACTCTATGACGCACAAACGCACTCTCAAACCATCTCAACTAGAGTCAAGCTGTCTGACACACTGACATACAAACACCCACGTACTGCAGAGAATCACCAGATCTCAGGCTATAGATGCTGTGTGGTGGGTGTACTATGTTTGTAACTCCTGTCATGGGCCTCTGTCATTAGTACCGCATATGTTTTTATCAGCTGGGTTTTAAACATGCTTGATGCCTGGAGAGAATGGAAACAATACCAGTATTTCCTTCCCAAATACATTAATCAGGACATGTTTATTATAACTCAGTGTGCACCTCTCCCTGCTCATGTGCAGCCAAAATCTCAGCTTACATGTCTGGTTGTTTGGCTTGAATTTTAACGTTCTGTGTCGAATGACAACTTGCTATCAAACCTGAACTATGAGGAAGCATAGACTCAGTCAGTCTCTCAGAGGAGCACAGCTCCCACTGGGCTCCAGATTCACTTTCTGTCTCATCTTTGTAGCCCGAATCAGACAGACCATATGCAACACAGCATTTCAATATCAGAGAGCTGACACCTTCAGGCTGAGTGAAAACGAATAAAAACTGCAGGAAGAATCCAAGATGCACCTTCCCTCCAAACTGTATGAAAGTTAGTTTGACAAAGCTGTCAGTCACTTACCCTGAAACCGAGAAAACTCCATAGATGACAGGATTTTTGGTGTCTTGAGTTGGTTGAATATACACATCCCCTGATAAATAAGGACAGAAATGACAGAAATCAGGCACAATGACAAAACATGAAGTGTAGATTTACTTATAAAAGTACATACATTAACATAATGTACTTATATTTAAAGTAAAAGTAGTCATTTTGCTGAAAAATGGCCAGTGACTGATATATTGTTTTATGACACTGTTAAACTGCTCATATTGATGCAACTGTGTACATGTAAAATTTTACTGCTGTAGCTATAGGACTTGATTTGTAGTTACTTTTAAATACTTTATGAAGAACGTGTTTATCTTGAGAGGATTAATAAGGTAGTAAAGAAGAAAGTTCTGCTAGACAAATGTGTTCATTTTTGTGACTGTCCTCTAATCTTTGCTTTTATAATATGTTATTTAAATTAAACAATGAGACACTAAGAGAGGAAATGCCTCAAACAGCTATAAACTGCTTTTATAATGTGTTCTTGCCTTTGGAGCCACTGAACTAATTCTGAACAATGCTACATATTTAGTAAGCCTATCGTATATTTTTGTGTGTAAAATCTTACTCTACATAGTAACTACAGCCAGTGTAGTGGAATCAAATGTACAATATTCCCCTTTGAAATGTAATGGAGTAGAAGTAGTAGCAAATGTAAAATTTAAAAAATAAATAAAGTAAACATTACTGTAAGTATCTGTGTCTCATATTGAAACATTCCAAATCTTAATTTGTTCTCAGTTTCCACCTGGTTTCAACCCAGGGTAACTGTAACTGTGACACAAGGAGACTTTCTGCTTCCCACGAGAGGGAGTTAAAGGAGAATTCCTTATGAATTGAGGTTAGCAGAGGCTCAATAAGATCCTGATTCTAAACTCTTCAAATGCTGAAAATACAGTTCCTGAATCTCAGCAGGGATTATAAATAGAAAAGAGCTCTCTGATGCAACGTGGTTTTAATAGGAGCCATATGTGTCTACTGACTGTTAAGGACATTGTGAACGCCGCACACTCCAATGGGTTAATGAGAGAAAAGTACAAGGAAAAACAATAAGGAAGAAAACTGAAATAAATTTAAAGTAGGCAGGCTGAGTAGCATAACACTTCATCCACAGTCGAACACATATTGCTTACTATCAATGAAGTATAAGAGCTCAGAGGAGTTGTTTCAGATGGCCTTGAACAGTTATGACAATGATTACTTAACGTTTTTGGAAATACATTGAACCCTATACTCGCCTTTGTAAACTGAGATCTTTTTCAGGGTTATCTTTGAATGTAGACATTACTCTGACACACCACAGAAAGAATGCAGAGGCGTCCTCAGAGATTTATCTCTCACATATCACCTAAATGAAGTTGAGAGGCAGTGTGTAAATGAGCAAATTGCTAATCTACAGAGTGGAATTGAAGGTGAAATGTAAAAACACAATTTGATACCTGTGTCCTTGGTGTTATCTAACACACACACAAAATACTTAGGAGGAAGCTTAAATTCACACGGTCTGCATAAAAACATCATTTTTGACTCTGCAAAATTACAAAATCAACAATCATGAGTTTTAAATCTTTTCAGGAAAAAAGATCTCATTACATGCCAAGGTATGAAAATGACAGGTAATGGCTGCACACTGAAGCAAACATGAACTTTTGGCAAACAAAGCAGAAAGTTATAACTCATCTGACGCCAGTTTGACAGACCTCCTGGCTACAGAGCAGCGCAGTGAAACAAAAAAAGAAATAAATCAGTAAAGAACTAGAACAAGTTACATCATTGTAACTTCTGTTTGTGTTGCCCTCAGCATCACATTAGCAGAGAAACATCACTGATTGCTGCAAGCATAGAAAGAATCCAGAGTGGGGATAAATTAGGTGCCGTGAAAAGTAAAAACTAAGGAGAAGGCACATGAATGTCACTGTCAAATGAATACAGATGGTGTATTATCTCCTTGATACCTACTCTGAGTGATGTGCATCTAAAACGAAGAGCAACAACAAAATAGAACAGAAACAGATTAAAAGGATTTGGTGATTTATGAACTACAGTGACATTAAAAAAATGAAAAAAATATTTCACTCCATAACTGCTGTACATTTCAGACAAGGCAATACAACTATCGCTCACACATTGGTTCTCACTTTTTTTGGCAGACATGTTCATCTCTCTTGTGGGTTTATGTCTCGGTTTTATATTCCTCCTCTCCCTGGGTAAAACACTGAATGCTTTTTCCTCTGTTAGTGTCTACTCCGCTCCCTCCCCTGAGTCCTCATACAACCACTCCGATGCCTCTGCTGGGCTCCATTAGGACCAGCAGGACTGGAGACAGAATACATTTCTACCAGACTGTGGTTATAGGGCCGACCACAGGGCTTTGGGATGTTACACTGCACCTCAGGACTCACAGTGACCCCACCACAAGTACTCATCTACCCTGAGACGATGGCTGACCTGCTGTGCTGCGCATAGATTCAAAGTACAGCAGCACTGACACTAGAGCACTTGTCTGTCACCGACACCGAGTGATCCTAATGCATAGTATACATTTGCAACTTGCAGGGCCTCATCATAGCAGAAATATGGTATACTACTATACATTCTGCTCAGAACTGTGTTTGATGCACATTTTGGTGCATTATTTAATAGTGAATCATTTAATACTGTCACAATCAATACATGGTAAAAATACAGCAAATATGACAGAAAAATAAAAGCATGATGAATGTCATCATCTGTAAACTGTACAGTGTGTTCAAGTACAAGTTTTAACAGTTAGGAGGAAAGGATTAGTTCTTCAAATCCTCTGTAACGCACGTTGTTGGTGCTTGAAAGTAAAACAATCGATTTACGATTTACTTTAAGGACCGTAACGTGTCAGAATGACATCTACTGTACCAGCACCATGACAATGTTCAAAGGAATATACATGTAAAGATTAACATGTATGAGTCAGTGATACCTTAATATGAAGCTTCCATGGGATTTTAAGTATCGCTCTATTTGCTGTATAAGCAGAGACGTGCCAAATGCTGGGTGTGTGCTTCTACAGTACGGTAAGATGCTGGGCCACACATGCAGCATAATCTGAGTAAATGTGGATTAACATCATGGTGTAAAAACACAAAATTAATGTGAAGAGAAATCTAGAAATGAAAAAGATGTTGATAGTGAATCTGTCAACAAGATGTACATCTAGAACTCCTTGCTTTGCATTGCTGTGGTTACATGGTCACTTTCCATCTGCAAGGACTGTTGTTGGGTCACACATTTGTCTAATATGTGCCTAGAGCAAAACCAGCTTTAAGCACATACACTGCAGTACATGTTCTCCAAGTTGTAGAAATCATAAAAACACAACATAGAAAAACATCACATTAGGTATTTTATATAGACGGCTGCAATTTGTCGTTTGTGAGAAAAATAAGTGTCATTTTTCCAGCCTGTCATCAATCCCAGCGCGTCAAATACTGACAATATGTGAAGTACCTTAAGCATCTCATACGGACGCCAAAGGCTGCCTTTGGCATCTGTATGAGACGCACAGGGCTTTCAACAGAGTATCCACTCGTGCCAGTAACTGATGCCCACAGCAAGAAGTCTTAGCATATGAAGGGATCAAGTCTGTGCTAGGTGGTGGCTGGGGTGGATGGTGGGTCAAACAAAACACTGAACTCCTCACCTCCAGTGTGTAATGCATTGTCTTTTAATCAGTGAGTGTTTCAACTCAAGACATGATATTTTCCTAAACCTAACCATGTTGTTTTTGTGCCAAAACATAACCATGTCATTTCTGTGTACTAATGTTAAGTGGGATAAAGCTGTTTTGTAATGAAATGACTAAGGTGTTGAGGCTCATGGTGCTGGGGTGCATAAATTCCAAGCATCAGAGATGCTCTGTAGAGGACCAGAAATGGAGGAAGAATTTTAAAGAGTGAAATAACTCAAACTCACTTAGTTCATCAAAGTGCGTCTCAATGCCGTCAGCTCCAGGCACCGAGCAGATGAGTCGAGCCTTCAGAAATGTGCTCCACTTGTTTACCAGACAGCAGTGGCCACCGTCATCATTCTGCAAGGCAGAGACATACAGTAATCATCAATTCACCTCAAAAGGAGGAACCCATCCAATGTCTGAAACAACTATTTGAAACAGCCGTTCAAACCAACTGCAGTGGGTCTGTTGTTACTGGCACTGTGTGAATAAAGATCAGCTCTGTGTTTCAGCTTGGCCCAGCTGCATGAGAGGTCAGCCAATGTCTACTGCTGAGGAAGAGAGTCAAGCCTTGGGAAATGATTCAAGGGCTGGAACGCGACACACTACACAGAGTGCAAAAGATTTGCACCAGTGGAAGAAATATCGAGTCTCGTTATCTATTGTGATATTAAACAGGAAAGAATTCCATTTCTAAGTTTGTTATATTCGTGTTTTAGTATCTGTTGAACACAGGTAGAGATGTTTTAGTCATGCTAGTGGCATAGCTTGAAGAATGGTTGGTCCACCATTTTGTTCCAGACTGAAATATCTTAACTTTTTTTTTTTTGAAAGATTGCCATAAAATTTTTGTGCAGACATTTGTGGTTCCCAGAGGATGAAGCCTATTAACTTTGGCGATCCCCTGACTTTTTGTCTAGCTGCACCAGCAGATTGACAGTTGTGAGTCGGAGTTTAATATCTTCACAACTGTCAGATGGATTACCGTAAAATTTATGAAAGATATTCAGTTTTTACTGAAGTGATGGTTTCTTGTAATGATTTTCGCTACAGATATTCATAATTCCTAGAAGATAAACTGTAAAAACCTCTGAACTCTTTCATCATCAGGCCAAAAGTTTCTCCTTGCCCAGTACTTTTTGTATATTAAGAGGTTAAACTAAGACAGTGAACATGGTAAACATGCTTGCAGAAGGTCTACTCGCTGTCATTGTGAGCATGTTAGCAGCTCAAAGTGCTGCTGTGCCTAAATATAGGCTCACAGAAATACTAGAATGGCTGAAAACTCTTATTTCTGTTTAGATTATAGTATTTTTTTTGTAAATGACATACTTCAAGGATAAATCTTGTGAACACAAAAATGTCTTGCAAGGCATTTTTCTGAAGTTCATGTAGAGATTATTTGAAACTTTTGGACACTTGGTGAAAAACAACATTCCAGGCCACAGCACTTGGGCTTTGTATGGATGTCTATGCATGCATACAGATGTAGACTAAAGTAAACTCTGCCAGTGAAACATTTCATCCAGAGGAACAAAAATAACAGAACATTTCCCAAACTTAGCTGTTAAGGCAACGGTTTTGTTTTTGTGTGTGTTACCGTTTCATGCTTAGCAATTACTGATGACCACGGGGGACTTCCTGTCTGGGCCTCTAAGAGACTTAAAAACTGGCAACAGACAATAACTAACCATTATGCAGATATAAGAAACATGTCACTGGTGATGATGAACACAGGATTTGCTGACTGATGCGATAACTCACCAGGCAAATCCGTCCTATCCTGGACTGAGTCATGGGACTCTGGCCCATCTCAGATGCTTTCTCACGGAAGAAAAAGTAGAGCTTGTCATCATTCTTCTCAGCACTGTCTGGGATAAGGTGTGCATGCACAAATGTGGGATCTGAGGAAGAAGGAAGAAGAAAGTTCAAGACAGCATAATTACCTTTGCAGCCCACACACAGGATGCATCCACAGGGAAGCCTGTGAGTGCAGTGTTCAAATACACTGTTCATCAAGTGCAAAGGGAATCCTGCAGACTTTCAGGGAGTCTGCTTGTGGTGTGGACTTCACCAGGCTTATGTTAAAATATTAACCATAATTTACAGTAATATAGCTCTGACTACACATAAGAAGACAGTAACCATATCCACCCAACACCATCTACTACTATATCTAGTTATTTATCCAATAAATTATTAAAGGTAAAGTTTCACCATGCATATCAATCTCTGTCCTATTTGAGTCATTATTTAAAGGACAGACATTTGTCAAGTTTGTCCTGAAACAATAATCACATGCCCATTAGTACATTAAACCTAAAGTATTATGGCCTTACCTAGTCTAAGATATGTATAGTTCCCAGAACAAACACATATTACAATATTTGTGAATAAAATCTCAGTTTAAAATCTCAATTACTGACGTGGATTCAGCTACAGACATCATTTAAACTCTCACAGAGAAACTGAATGAAGATTACTACTATAGCATAAATAACACTCTGTAACCTAAAATAGCACTTTAACTGTCCCACTGTAAATCTGCCCCTATATTTCTTCTTAGAGACAATGTTCAATCACAGTGCACTCACACTGGCTGACTTACTGGGTCAACCCCGGATATGCAACGCAGGCTGCACCTCCCTGCTGTGCCCAACCAGGGTCCCAAATGGGGACAAACCGATACCAAAAGTCTCTGCGAGATTTCCCTTGGCTGATTAGCAGGACTCAGGTGTCCCCATTCAGTGCACCGCTATCAGGGGACTGTTGTCAGGGCAACAGGGTCAGAGAAAAATCTGGAAGCTAGCAACACAAGGGAGACCGTGATTGATTTGGCAACATCAACCGAAAGCACCCGATTAGCATTTATAGCACTGTGATAACCATTGTTTATTAGAAAAAGGAGGGTACCCTGACTCATTATTGACAATGAGTAATTTCTTCCTGCTACTACACCAGTGACCTGGCTGTCAAGCTCTGCAGGCATTCAGTAAACAAATACTGTAGTCTGTTTTATGCCTTGAGTCATGTGGTGCACGCTGGAACGATCAACAAGCCCAGACCATAGGAATGGACGATTCGTTGGCGAATGCGGAGGCTATATGCGTTGCCATGTTCATATAGGAGAATAAAGTATAAATGGCCTGGACAGAGATGACTTAAAGGAATAATGCTGGCTACAGGACAAGCTGTGAGTTTTGACACTACCATTTAACCATCTGGAGTTGTACTGATCGGTCCTCATGGCTGTCTGTTTCCCAAGCGTACGGAAGATAGCCGAGTCTGTTCCCATGAAATCAATGTAGACTCCTGCGTATAGCTCTCCGTCTGTCAGTCGCAGGGAAAGAAGACATGGTGTAAAGTCATGACAAAAGAAAACAATAGGGAGAACTATTATCTACCATATCTGACTGAAACTTCATTAAAAAGTTGCACCATCCTTCTGGGTTTCATCACAATCAGACTGACAGCATGTGCAGCAATTATTACCATTCAAAGTTTGAAATATTAATTCTATATGACAGGACAGCGACAAAATATATCAGTTCAAAATCTAAAACTTTGTTCAGTGGTGTCAGAAATGTCATGTTTGGGCTAAAAAAGGTGACCTCAAAATTATATTGCAATCATACTTACTGTATATTGTACTCATTAGACCAGACAATGTAATTTGAAAGGACAGACAGATTTCATGTCAGCAGGATTCATGGTGTATAGGTTAGGAGTCAGTGAAACTTGATATTGTAGCCCTTCATCATCATGTTGGTGCAATGTTTTAACAAAACCGTAGCTCCAAAATTTGACACAATTAGACCCCGAGATATCATGTCTGACAACGGCATAGGCAGACACTTTCTGATCCCCAAGACACTTTGAGGAGCAACTCAGAGATGGCAAGTGCCCCTGTTGTGCAAAAAACAAATAATGCTTAAATCAGGGAAATCCCACCTCCCTTTGTTGTGTCAGTGTGGTATGTCTCTGCCTTGCCGGTTATGCAACATGACCTGTAGCTGATGTCTTGATGTTACAGTTGCTAGGCTAAGCCAAAACTGAGCTGACATAGCTTAGCAGAAGACGAGCCCTCTCTGCCACACAGAGAGACACACGCAGGGCAGGAGGTCACTGATCACCAGCCATGCCTGACCACCTGTAAGCCGCTGACATAGACCACCCACTGACATGAGAGCACCCACATCCATCTGACCAAATATGTGAATGCATTTTTAAACTATAACTGTATTAGAGCTTCATTTAAATTAAATGAAAGTACAAAATGTCAAACCTCTGGCAGCAGCTTCACCAATGTGAGTATTTGCTGATATTCTCCGTCATATACAACTGTAAACTAAATGCCTTTGTGCTTGTCTGGGACTGCTGGTCAGTCAAAACATTTTTCATAGACAAATTCATTACACAATTAAACAAGAAAATAGTGGCCCAACAAACTGATAATGAAAATAACCACGATCTGATGCCCTAAATGATCTAGATGAGATCCGATGCATGTTAACATGGATCAGCAGCCACTGACAGATCAGATTTTATGTAAATGCTGAAACTGAATAGAAATCCAAAACTGAATTAAAACATTTAAATTTACGGAACTTTTGTTTTTCCAGAGATAGTTATTTAAATATGCCTGTACACGTTGTATGAATTAAAAAAAGCAGGTGCTTACTAATCAAAGCAGAGACGCTGTTGAGTTTGGGGTCATAAGGACATTTTCCTTTCCCAGAATCCACTTTTCCAGGTTCAAGACGGAAAATGTATTCCTTTAACGGTAAAGATAAAAAAAAAAAAAATCATTAATGACTTTTTCTTTTTTAATTAGTCACAGATTTATTGTGTGTAAGAAATAGTTGTGTGTGTGTGGGCGGTCCTTTAATGCTGCCTGTACAAGGCACTTTGAGTATACTTGGATGTTAAAAGCAGTTTTAAATGGCAACAGTTGCATCAAATTAATAATGTGATCAGTTGGGAGATAATGTAAAGTAACAATGGCGAGGTGTGAGCTGCGGTCCTACAAGCGCTGAACTCTCACAGCTCTACTGGATCTACTGAGGGGAACAAAAAGCATACAAAGCCAGTTATCAGTGAGATGGAGATGTGGAGGAAAACACCGAGAGCAGTCCACACTCATCCACCATGCTTCTGACATTAGTGGCTCAAACAAGAATTCATTATTGCACAGTGCCAGAGTGCATCTTGAACATCTGTGTCAACACCGGGTATGTGTATTCGTGGAGCTTTGTTGGGTACATTAACGCTGGCTGATGAAGCCTCACATTTTGCAAGGGGAAACAGAATAATGCCAAAGCTATGTTTATAACTCATTCTGTGATTTTTTTTAACAAGATACAGTAAGAATCAAAAATATGTGCACTGGTGAAAATATTACTGTTTGTGACAACATTACACATTAACAGATTTTCTTATATTGTATTGAAAAACAAAAGAGTTTGCTGACTGCTGAATTTTAAGTGATAAATTACCTGACAATGAAGTGAATACAAGTGATCGACAGTGTGCAGGATTTTTATTTATTTATTTATTTATTGGAATATCTACGTATTACATAACTTTTAAGATGCAATTAAAAGCTCAACTTCCCCCAAAAAACCACACTGACAAAGCACTAGAGCAAGGTTTTTCACACAAAAAATACATTTGTAGTGAATATTTTGACTGGAGAATTGTTTGGAGACTCAGGTATATCAAAACCCCAGCAGCAGTTTCTCTTCAGCCATTTTATCACTGCTAATCCAACTGTGACTGAAAAAGTACTCCAGGTGGGCACCACTCTTAAGAGCCTTAACAAAACTCCCTTCAGCCCACCTTTGCCTCCAAAGGCTCTGATGTAGTGCTGTAGTCTGCTGCCCGACTTGTTCTCACTCCAGATTGGGATGCTTGTAGATAGAGGGAACCCTAAAACAGAGACATTGCATAGTGGGCTCTCATTACTGACATTCGACAGCCCAGCCCGCAATTAACCTGATGACCATGACGCAAATGGAAGAGGAAAAATAGTAAAGTGCAGAAAGAGTAGAAACAAAAAAAGTAGACTGGACAAAGATGACGAATTCTAAAAAAAAAGGAAAGCAAAATGTTTAAGTGGAGGTCAAAGTAGAGTGAGGAGAGCCTTGTGGGTGACGTCCATCAGTTAGTAATCCTACTGAGTTAGACTCCGTGTCTTGCAAAGACAGCTGCAAACTCCATGCATACACCATGCAGGCAGTGGTAGGAAAGGAAACAGAAAAGGAACTGCAACAAAACAAGACAAACCATATTGGGGAAAAAAAACCCATAACTTTCAATGTTGTCTAATAAAGTGAAGGACAGAACAAATTAAAAGACATTTTTAATCAAGGTATTTGATCTACTATGATTATTATTAGAAATCTTCAACAAGCATTCTTCCACAATGTGTACATTTTTGAAGGTGAACTAGACAGGCTGACATAAAAATCTGCAAAAAGACCTTTAGAAAAAAAAAAGCAGGGAGAGTGATGCAGTAAAAAAAAAAACTGAGTGTTAACTGAGGTCAAAAATGTGTGAAGCCCTCTGTATACCAAGTGAAAGAATTTCTGAACAATTGGTTTCTGTTTACATGTAGCCCTACTAAGGAAAATCTTTACAGTGTGAAGTAACATAGCTTTCGGGCCTTATGGGAGAAGCTGAATGACAAGAAGTAGACTGACCTTTACATTGAAATCTGAACCCTGTATTTGAACAGTGAGACTAAACAGGCATAGTGGTGAATGTAAGTGTGTGGACTAGAGTTGGGCCGGCAGCTGCTGCAGCTCTGCATAGCCGTAATGCTGGAGCGAGGGAGGGACAGAGGAAGGGACAGAGGGTGGGGTGAGCTACAAGGCTGATGATGGATGAGAGGGCCCATCGGTAATGATGGCCTTTCAGAGGCTCTCAGCCAGACAGAAAGACAGGCCTCAGACTCTACTGTGTATAAACAGGTGAGCAGGGGAGGGCGGACAAGGACAAGGGAATGTGTATAAACAGGTGAGCAGGGGAGGGTGGACAAGGACAAGGGAACATAGGGTTTTTTCATAGGTATAGTGCCAATGTGATATTCCCAGTGGTAAGAGAAGACTGGTGCTAAAACAATCTCTAAGCGGTGGTAGTTAAGTTCCTCACCAACAGCAATTTAGCAATAATAACAGACCTAGAGAGGACTGGCCATGAGCTTTTTTTTGTTTTGTTTTTTAAAGCACCGGACCGTGAAACAGTGCAAATCAATAAAAACTTAGAAGCAGAAAATGATGGAAGAGAGGCATGAAACTGAGGAGTAAGAGCAGAAGGAGACGCTCTGACCTAAGACTGATTGACAGATATGGTACTATAAGAAGTGGAGAACAAAGGTCAAAATGTCTCCACGACTGCCTGGCTGTGTCTTTGGTTACCTGTGACCTACGTCCTCGGTCCACATAGGTGCAGATGGGGTTGTACGCCCCTGTTCCACACACATACAGGTGGGTCCGGTTCCATGGCTCAATCAGACGGATGAAGTTTCCACATTCCCCCTGAGGTAGGGCAAAACAAAGCTCAACAGGATTAAAGACTTAGGGATAAAAAAACAAAAGACACTGATCTTGGAAATGCAATGGAAAAATGTTACATAATAAATAATGCCCCACTGATGGTTAATAACCCATGTGTCTGGGTTAAAACCCATCACGTCTATCATTTCCACTGCTGGTCAGCTTTTGTTTGGCAGCTCTGTCCCCTGACTCTGTGTGTTGGCCTGGCCCAGGACTCAGACCACACTGTCAGAAGGAAAATGTTTCCAAACACTATATAACTGTGTGTCAAAAACCAAGAAAAGCAGTGCATCTGGGCTGAGAAGTGTGTTTGCTAGGGGACTGAGGGTAAACTCAATTCCATGTTCTGTCAGACTTGAAAAACATTCTGGTTAGACCGAACAAAACTGATGAGTGAAATGTTTGGTCTTTGGAAAAGAGGGATTTAAGATCCAATTAGGGTTTAAGAAGAAGACAAAGACAATTAAGCTAAATCTCAGTGTTGATGTGGTTTATTTAGAACTTTAATTGCATATAAGTGGAATTTAATTATATACTGTAAGCGGTAAGAACTGAGATGAGGACAACCCTTTCATGTTAGAGTGCAGACAAAGATGTGCTGCTGCTAACAGCAGCTCTGTGCTTTCTAACCTCTGCTTGTCTGACCAGCTGTCTGCCTTCCTGGTCCGAATTCACGCAAATCACAACTCAAATTACAGAAACTGTTCAGATTTGTCCATCACGTCGGCTGCTAGTGACAGCTGGTGAAAAAAAAAAAGATGTAACAAGCATAAAAAGATTGTATGCAGGACGGGGGGGATGAGCCATTTTGGCAGCTCTTAGCAACACGACAGATGCACAAGTCAGAGGTTTCAGATGATGTGTTTTTGTGCCTCTGTATGTGTTTACGCATGTGGGCCTGCGTGTATTATTCAGCACACAGTCGTGCTCCCCCACAGCGAGCACAGAGAGGATGATTGCCTTTGACCTCCTGCCTGAACCGACATCCCCTCTGAATTGCTTTTGAATTGTCATCATCTCTCATTCCCTACAGAGCGGCCGGGCTTGCCAACACGTCTCGCAGTAGCCAATTTTATTTCTTCTTTTACTGATGAAATTTCAAACCCACCTCTGACACATAAACACAGTCACACACAGAAGCTCACACATGAACATACAGAGCCCCATATGATGTAGCCGGAGGCAGTCAGAGGCACCGGTCATCAAAGACGCATAAATTAACATTCCAGTTGGAGAAACAGCAGCCTGCGCTCTCTGCCGCTGAGGGGAGAGCAGGGTATTAGCCAGAGCCTCATCATTACTCTGTTGGTGCTCACTGCTCCTGCCGGCACTTGCCCCTAACAATGATGAGATGAGCATGCACGTGCGCGCGTGTGTGTGCGTTTTGTGAACAAAATAAAACAAGGATCAGTTTTTATATGAATTTCAGTGATGAGTTTTGACCTCATCCTCGTGGGGGAGCTGAGCTGGTGGTGGCTGTGTTTTAATGTCTGAACTGTATTAACACTTCACACAGGCCTGCAGCCTCCAGCTGCTAATTCGTTTCGTCTGCCTGTCCAGATAACACATTGCAAAATGATTTTTATTCAAAGAGAAAAATAAATACACAAGTATATATAATATGTAGGTTTGTACATGGAATATGTTTTCAGTTCTCAATGAACGTGACTGATTGTTGAATGTTCCAAGTTCCTACTAGAGTTTAATTGGTGGCAGCTGTATGCAATCAGCAATCAGGGATGTAGAGACAGTAAATAAGAGCTTCACAGCGTGTTAAACACTGGAAGCTTTAAAATGTCCTCTATTGACGCCAGTGCCACATTCAAGTGTTGAGCATCACCAGAAAGACACATTGAAAACATGAGGGCATCACCAGATAAATTCATGTTTAAAGGATGTGCAGCAGCTTTGTACAGAATGAAAATCTACAGAGCATTCAGGGGATCACCTGCAGGGACTACAACAACACAATTATTTCCACTCTGATTAATGTGTCCATATAAAAATATAATCAGTCTACAACAATATAAAACAAAGAGAAGCAGAAATATTTGCAAAGCAGGAACAAGGCAATGTCTGACATTTGAATGAAATTATTACATTTTCTGTCAACTGATTCATTAAGACTATTTATTTCAGCCTTCCTTTTACTTTTAATTAATTTACTTTTTCCTTTAAATGTAATATTTGAGCTTTTGGATACTTACATTGGTATCTTTCCCTGACAAGATACATTCAGTCTTCCTCTGAAGAGCAACAGGCCAGTGGATCTGAAAAAAAGAATTGACAGGTTTGTTGGTTATAATCTCATTTTGAGGTCATTCGGTTTAATCATTATAAGGGACATTGCTTACTATCAGTGGCTCCTTGTTGATATCATGGAGATCCAGAGAGAGGATATAATCTTTGCTGCCCACATACATTCGGTCATGGTCCTCATCCATGAGAAGGATCCGATAGTCGGTTGAGTTCAGCAAAAAGGAGAAGTGGTGAGCGGTGCCCGTAGACTTTAACTCTATAAAGAGAGAAAAAGAGTGAGGCTTTTGTTCAAGCTGTGCCTGTAAGACTTTAGTAAAGAAACATTCAGTACAATTGGGAAACATAAACCAGAGACATGGTCATGGCAGATGTTTGAAGGCTGTTCATTTTTGGCACAGAGATACCCTTTGGTCTACCAAGGTTCTTTTATTCTTTCTGTACAATAGGTAATCTTTTCTCTATTTACTTTATTAAGCTAACCCCCCCCGACACTGTATGCTAACGGTGATGGTACAATATAATATGGTGCACCAAACCTACCATCAGATGCTCCAAGGTTAATTTACAGAGGCAGTTTTTTCACCCCCACCCCCAGTATTACAATTACATCCTGCCATTATGGGGTTATGGACAGGCTAAATCTGGTTATGACAAGCTTGACAAAGGAAAGAAGGCAAACCATAACTCTCACAAGACACAGAACTGAATGAGAAGAGACAAGCAACAGATTAGTCACCGCTGTATGGCAATGATAATGACCATTAATTCTGGCCCATGCTGGTTTTCCCTCAGGATCCGTCTATGCTGAACTGCTACTGGCATCATGAGCTGCAGCCACATTACAAGGATTCTGTTGCAAAAAGCCAAACAGCCGTTAATGTTCAGGACCCCGCAGTCAATTCTGTCAAGCTGAAAGATGGGCGATAATCTCTTCTTGTGAAATCTCCACTTTAACAGCAGCAGAGAAGATGCTGACAGCTTCTCTGCCAAGTCTCATTTCATATGAACCTGTACATAACAATCCTCCATACCACTATTAAAACTATTTTTGAAATCAAACTGCTCTCAAACGGCTCACATGCTGCTCAGGGCAGATCAGTGGTGGGTGAGTGTGAGTTTAAGTTACACTCAGGGTGTGAGGGGAGATAAGTGGAGATCTGGTGTACAGAAAGCACCTCTTTCTCCCAGTCCTCCCATTATCTCCCGAGCTGTTAGAGAATCTGATAGGAGGTCTCTCTCTTTCTCTGGTTTTCTTTAAACTATGCTTGGGAAAGTGGAGCTTGAGAAAGTTGAGCCTGCACTTGTGCTATTGTAGTTGCTGGGAAGAGGACCAGATAGAGGGCCTACTCATGTTCCACTTGAGCGGGACTAGACAAACATCCCTACTGTTCTCTTTAGCCGGGTCTAAGACTCACTGACGAAACAGATTCCCTCTAGCAGCTACAGCAGGTTTTCTTGAAGCAGACCTTGTTACTCTGCTTGGAATACAAGACAGTATGATGTCCTCTCCCTGCACAGGAAATGTTGAAATACCGACACGAATCCTCTGTCAGAGAGTTTCTGAGCTGCTGGTGCGCTGGGCTCCTTCAGGAACTGTGAAACGCTGCCGTCACGCTGCAGCTTTTACAGTACGCAGTGAGGTGGATAAGGCAAATAATAACAAACACTGGTGACACTCATGTAATTCTCAAAAGCTGTATTCAAACACATTTTTAAATTCGTTCCTTCTCAGTAGGCCTAGGTGTTTGTAGACTTTCATTAAAATCACAGTGTGGTGATATGACCAAATTTAGGTATTGTTTAAAAAAAAAAATCTTCAAATTAAAAGCCAAATTAGTTATTAAATATTAGTTTTCATCTGTAAAAGGTTTTCTAGTTGCTTAATTATACGGGCCCAAAGCTTTTCCTGCGAAGCAGTAGGAGGAAAATCAAAATACAGTATTAGTCACAGAGGTTAACACTAAATGCAATCATTTCCTATAAATGCAACTTCAAAATAAGACAACAGTCATGCTGGCAATTTCTTGATAGTGAATGACTTTGAAATGTTTCAGGGAATAAAACTGGAAGGAGAAACCACAGAGAACTGTTTAACACCGGCTGCTCTTCTGTTATATTTGTCAAAAATAAATAAATATATTGCTGTAGTATTAAACTGCGCTTTCTGTTATCATCAGTGACCAGAGTTGTCACCAAACCAACTGAGACTGAAATCTTAAAGTTTATAATCAGATAATACGGATTTCAAACTGCCCATCACTAGTTCATCACATAAAACGAGGACAAGTGCAGGTGATGGCAGCAACCTCATGATGAGTCACATCCCTGCTGGATATCTCATGTCAGGGATCTACACTTATACAAACATACAAATACATTAACAGAGAAAATCCTGAAACAGTACATCTCCACTCCCTCTCCATCCAGTCTTGTTTTCTAACCTTGTCAGCTACACACTCCAAGAACTAACTGCTCTTAAACGGTAATGGAGCTTCAGGGACACCAGACGACACCAGCTGACATGCCGCATTTATCACCTCAGCACGCCGATTCACACTCAGGAGTATCTTACTGGGTGATGACTGGCTATACAAGTCTGACAGCAGTTAGGTCACTGGAGCTCAATGTGAGTGAAGAGACGAGCAGACAGACTGAGAGACAACCTACTGCATCACAAACAAACATTCATCAGAACACATTATCAGTTAGCAGCAGCTGATAGCCTGTCTTCTTTCTCTCGCTTCCAGTCTCAGTATTCCATTACACTAGATCAATATCTGCCAGTTTTGGAGCTGACCTAATTTTGTCCTGACAAAGATAAATTAAAAGAAAGGTGGTTTTGATCTCATCGAGTTCATGGATCATTAAAAATGAAAACCAGCGAAATGTGAGGACCAGAATTTAATCTGAACACTTCCAATAGCTGACTGTATCGTCCTATAAGAAGCAAGGCCCTGTCAAAGCGTGAAAACAATCAGCGGTTGGTGTGTGTATGCACCTTCCTAGCCTCATCACACCACCCTCATTTGTATGCAGTCCCAGAAGCTATATAAAAGTGCACTGTAGGACAACATATTGAATCAGACATCATGGGAGGAATTATGAGTTAACAGAAAGAATACCAAATCAGGATTGCTTGTCGTTTGCAAGAATTTTACATCTACACTACATGGAATACATTTGACAGCCTATTAAAGTCAATATAAAGATTGCGAGTCTCCTCAGTGAAAATATAATGACTCTATCAAAGCTATACTGTACATTAGCGTTATTCTTCTTGCCATTTTAATCTGTGAAAACAAATCCATTGAGGACATACATTACATCTCTGCAAGACAAGATGTGCAAAAACACATTTTCTTTGAAATAATGCCTGCGGTGGTGAGATATGGAGTAAAGTACGATAACAGTACACCTCAAAGCGCTCATATAGAAGCATTCCTGTGTTGCAACACGGCCTAAATTGCCCATGCTTCTGAAGCCAAGAAAAAGGTTTCATAATGAAACACAGCCTTGACATAATCTTTAACAGTTGAGTTCACAATCAATTGGTAAATTCAGCAATAATAGGGTGTAAAGGCCACAGGATATGAATCACTGTTTCCCAGAAAGTCTTTTCTAATCACTGCTGGACACGCAGGCAGATAAAGATAAATTGTCTTTAGTTTGTTAAAGATCCTTTTCTTGGATAAAACCCAGTTTATTCCTACTTCTCTCCCAGAATGTGAATGACATCTGCTGGTAAACTGAGCCTGTAGCCTGTCCACCTGTTGATGTGATCCATCTGCACTGTGGTCACTCTCTGCTGCTCTGTTCTGTGTCCAAAGTATGTAGCCCTTCAGCCAGTCTCTGTATCATGGCGTGGTTTTTCTGGGTTACTCTCAAAGGGATGGACAGCAAGCGACTCAAATTTAGTGTCTGTAAGGAGATGATAAAAGACAACTCCCAGGCAGAACAACCATTTATTTTTAGGACACTATATCCTAGGAAATCTCCCCTTTTTCCAGTCAGTCTGTGTGTATTTCAAGTGAAAAGGGTGGTGGTGAGGGGGGTTTGCAGAAGCAAGCAAATCCCACATATCTGTTCAGGCATCAGGCATCCCTGGCATGTTTCTGAACTCCCTGATGTACTCGTGTTCACATTCTCCTGAAGTAGAGGTGCCGCCACACCTTGCTGCGGCTTGTCTGCAGCCATGCGTGCATGGATGTGTCCCCTCTAATGACTTCTAGTTATTAAGTGAGGGGCCCACTTCAGATCAGTTTCTTAAAATCAGTCTCATATAATATCTGCCTCATTAATAATTAACCACACATTGTAATTAATAAGATCAAAATAAAAGGAAAAGTAAACGAATTAGCATGTTTCCCAAAATGTAAAAATATATTTTAACAATAACGGCAATCTCTCCCAACCTGTTAAGAAGTTTTAAATTTAACCAAACATAACAATAGGTTGAAGCGGTCGCTGCAGAACAACAGTGGGAAGCCTTACCCCCCCAACATATCCCAGCTTTGTGTTTGCCTCTGTCCAGCACCTCACTCAGCCTCGCACCACCCACTGGGGCCAGGACTATCGACTGAGAAACACATCATCAGCGCGGACCGCTGCTTACCTGAGGCTGTCAAGAAGAAATAATTGGCACCAGATTACATTTTATCTCTGAGCTTCCAGATGCTGTCACTCAGATGCTCTTCATGCTTGTCTGCTACTGATACACTGTGTGTGTGTGTGTGTGTGTGTGTGTGTGTACAGAGAAACAGAAGTAGAGCTCTCTGATCCCCGCATCATATCAGGGACACCTGTCTCCAACTGCACAAATCAAGAGCAGAGGAGATTGATTTAAGCAGTGAGTTCACATCCTGAGTGGAAACGAGAGATGATATCATATCTATTTCTGCTGTTTTGGATGACAGGAAGGGTTCATTAAAGCGCAAGGGAGCTGAGGAGGATCTCTGGTTCTGACAGGGAAGGTCACTTAGTTTACTGGTCTGCAGACTCAACCTTCATTAGATTCGTGTTATACTGCACATGTAACAATCTTGGCCAGGTCACTCTTGAAAAAAACTGACGGTAATCTCAACGAGACTTCACCTGGTTAAATAAAGGATAAATAAAACAAGAGGATACAGCAGGATTACATACAGAGCGAAGTACAAGACATGCAAGGCTTATGGTTTTTTTTTTTTCAGAAGTAATTTAAACTCTTCCACAAATGGATGAACTTGCATAAATTATTTTTCATTTTTCAGAAAAGAA